CAGACAGGCCCAGTGTCATATGTAATATGGGATCAAGTGGCAGGACGAGCGAGGAGGGTTCATGCTAATGATCTGAAGAAGGCTGAAATAGCTAACCTGGAAATGAGATGAGCCGAGGCCTAAGAAGACAAGGAAAAGGAAGGTAACTCTGGTTGAACGGAAGGAATGGAGACGGAGGAAGACTCGAAGAAGATGAGGAGATAGGTCGACTTGACCAGATAAACGAAGCAGTCCGAGTGACAGAGTTGGAACCCTCAGCGGGGATTAGCGATGTTCAGTCGTCGACTGAATCAGTGCAGAGAAGACCCCGTGAGATCGCCATCACACCCCCATGTCCGAAGAAAAGGAAGAAAAAGACGAAGAGGTCCAATCAAGCAGTCGAAGGCTCTAAAAAAGAGGCACCCTGAACAGGACGAAGGGCCCAGCGAGTGGGAGGAGGAGGATCAAATACCCTTTCCCAGCTTAAGGAAAGGATAAAGAACAGGAGAAGTTTAGACATAGAGTCGAGAGGTATTGAAGACATTCAAGGCGAAGACTCTAAACAGAAAGAAGAATCAGGGGATGGAGAAGAGGACAAAAAACCTCCTGGACGAGAATTAAACACAGAAAGAAGGTTAGAGGTTGAACAGGAATCACCTCAGAAGATGAGATTAGGGAGGAGAAGAACCCCAAATCTCAGTAGAACAAAAGGGCTGTGCAGAATAGAAGCATTTAGTGTCGACAGATAACGACACTGGCTCATCAAAATCCTATTGGCTGACTATGGTAGATGTGAGTGGAGGGATGGAGTCATGGGCTGCACCTCACAAGGGGGACGGAAGAAGATCATTGGCATTATTGATTGGCCACCAGTGGTGTCATGAAGTACGACCTTTAGAGTGGGCGCCACGCACACCTGACCGGACCATTCTGTCTGCTAGGGGTTAGTTAGAGGAGGAAGAGCCAACTAAGAGAAAAGTTATGAAATGATTGAGTGATGAGTCGAGCGAGACTAAGTGATTGTGAAGAATAACAACAAGAGAATTTGTTACCTTTCAGGAATGATAGCAAGGTACAAGGTGGAAGCAGACTACATAGCATTAAATTCGGGGAGAACGAAATTCATGTTGCTATCAGCTGAAGAAGCTAGAAGGTGTAGAGATGATACCCTGGGGACTTGTACCTCGTTAAGCCCTATCTATAAAACTGGTAACCGCAGACTGTGCATACTAGAATTGTTTGAAGGAGAGGGAAGGAATCAAAAGAATCTGCCAAGTAGAGGTATTAACAAACTGGCATTACCACAAGCTATCAGTGTTTCAGACAGGGGTGTGGGCAGTAGCCACACAGAAACATATCAGCCTGTCTAGGGTATGTGGGGAGAGTCCACAAGGACATTAAGAATAAGGCCACCGTTATCCCTGGTGACGCTACCCATGGGATGTTCGGCGGTTGGGGTGTCCATCTCCTTACCCCCTATTACCAGATGGAAGAAAGGTATGAAAAAAGATTCACTCATAGAGATGATTGGTAGAGGCTTAGTCAATTGTACAGAATTATGGGAGCCGATAGTGAAGAGATTCTCTAATGTCACCTTAAATAAGATGCCAGTATTAATGAAGCCAATAGAAAAGATCGATATGGATCCTTAAGGGATAAGTTAAGTGCGTTGGGAGACGAAGGTGTAGCTTGGGAAGACGATGAGCAGATCGCGATAAGTTGGTCAATAGTAATGGGTACATTCCTAGTTATAGCCATCGGGGTGTAATAATATGGAAGATTAAAGTAAGAGAAGATTAGCGAACGACAGTCTAGTGAGCATGCAACAACTCGAGAGGGAGATGCCAAGCAGTGTTCCTTACTCAGACAGGACTGGCGAAGAAATTGCTGAAAGACCAATGGAGGAGGCTGGCGTGAGACCACCACGTGCGGCGGGAAAACCTCCCACGGCAGAGAGGAAAACATTGACCAAGAAGAACAACCCTAGTGAACACATCTGCACCTACAAACACACGCACACATTACCTTGCATATAAAACAAAAGAAAATGAAAAAGAACATTTCATTGCATGTAGAACAAAAGAAAATGAAAAGAACATTTCATTGCATGTAGAACAGAAGAAAATGAAAAGAACATTTCATTGCATGTAGAACAGAAGAAAATGAAAAGAACATTTCATTGCATGTAGAACAGAAGAAAATGAAAAGAACATTTCATTGCATGTAGAACAGAAGAAAATGAAAAGAACATTTCATTGCATGTAGAACAAAAGAAAATGAAAAGAACATTTCATTGCATGTAGAACAAAAGAAAATGAAAAGAACATTTCATTGCATGTAGAACAAAAGAAAATGGAAAGAACATTACCCTTGCATGTTAGAAAGTAGAATAGAATTGCATGAGACAAATGCATGGTGCATGTTAAATGATGTAATTGGGTTTAGGTGTCATTTACGGGTAAATGACAAATCGGGTAGGGGAGGATTGTGGCACCTTGCATTATTAGAAATATTCATAGAAATATGATTTAATTTTTCTTATTCGGTTTACTAAACAGGTTGTTGATTTTTTTAAAACGGAAAATAATTGAGTTGAAAATAATTCACTAAGATTGTACTTGGACGATCCTAAAGGGAAGAAGAAGGAAGGGGAAAGAGAGGTCGAGAAATACAAAAAAAAACGGTCATTAACAAAAAACACGAGTCAGAAAGATATCTTAGCTAGCATGTTGACCGAATTTTTTAAAGACAATTGGAAGAATAGAATTAGAAATAATAAGAAGAAAGAAAGGGAAAAAGACATGATATCAAAACGGGCCGCTTGATGGAAGCCAGATATCGGTCAAAGCACCTAGCCTACTTTTGCATGGAAAGACACCTTATCAATTTGGATAAAGAGAAATTTTGGGAACAATGAAACAATCTTAATCAGAGAAAAAGTGTCTTTTGGGTTGAGGGGAGTGACCGGTGGAACGGTATACAGGCTCTGACCTGTTAAAAAATTAGAACCCCCACAATAATAAAGTGGAGACATTTTCAATGTAGATAATTAAGATTTTTGACTATCAGGAAAAACAAAGAGGTAAAAAGAGGGACAATTGCTTTTGGCTCACAGAGGGCGCCAAGAAGGCGGAAAAGATCCTTTCTGAAGTCAAGTCTAATTAGCGGCGGGCTGTTTGACAAAGTCCAGGTGAGAGAAGGCCAAGATGGTCATTTTTAAATGCGTGCGAAAAAAAAGGAAAAATTAGATTTTGTTTTTTTAGAACAAGAACGATATAAGCCCGCCCGATTGATTGCAGGAAACGCCCAATCAGGATCTCATTAGCGAAAACGGTCACGTGGCTGCAGAAAAGAAAAGAAAGAAATGCTCAACCAGAATCCCATTGGAAAAACGGTCACATGGCTGCGGAAAAAAAAAGAAAGAAATGCTCGATCAGAATCTCATTAGTCGAAAGCGGTCACCTGACATACGAGAGACCGAGAGAGATGGATATGCGCCTCTCCACCAAAAGCACTATGAGGAAGTAGGGGTGAAAACAATAGCGATAATGGAGAAATCAAAAATAATGCGACTTTTGGAATTATCGAGAAAACCCCTGACGCCGACGGACCCACCCCGGTTTGTTGCGGCGTCAATAAAAGCAGGACCCCAGTCGACAGAAATCAGTTGAGTTGGAGTGGAGTTGCAGCTGGACCGCGGGCAGGGAAAGAGCCTGAACGCGGGCATCGGGCCCGATTCACTCGCCCCTTTGCGGGCAAGAGAATCCTCAGACAAGAAATCCTTCCAGCCCAAGTCGAAGACAGAAGAGTTCAGCCCCGGACGGCAGCGAGAAGAGATCACCTCGGACGACAGAGAGTTGCGGCTGAGTTGCGGCAAAGAGATCCTTCCAGCCCAAGTCGAAGACAAGAGAACTTCCAGCCTAAGTCGACGAAGAAGAAGAAATACAACCCAAGTCGAAGACAAGAGAACTTCCAGCCTAAGTCGAAGAAGAAGAAGAAATACAACTCAAGTCGGAGAGAAGAATCAACTGCGAATGATCGATAGAAATTAGCCCCAGTGTCGAACCAAACCACACTCCGACATACACAATTCTAAAAGTAGGCAATTCAAAATCTTTAGGTTGTGTGATAGAAGCTTGTGCCATAGTCCACAGAGCGGGTTGGGAAATGAGAACAATTTTGTTTTTATGTAACGGACATTAAGATATAAAAGGTTGTTACCCATTTTTTTCATCAGCAATCTTTTTTGTCTCGTGAGTTTATTTTCTCTTTTATTTGTGTTTTGCCACCCCGTCGGACTCAACTTGTATCGCCCCAATCCCTGCTGGTCCCGTCTGTCTAAGATCTAAACACAGCGTGGGTAGACAGACCGGAGATCGGTACAGTTGCTTTAGTGACCAGGTATTGGAAGCGAGTCGGGAAAGGCGAGGCTGGTGATCATCTGACCAAGGGGTTGGAGCGGCACGCTTGGACCCAGGAGGAGCGACCAGGAGGAGCGACGTCACCGTTGGCGCCGTAACCAAAGGATCCGACCCTGGGCCAGGTGTGTGACCGTCACACCAGGATGCAGGGTGTGCTTATAAAGTCATTATTTCTAGACTGGGTGTTAACCTAGGCTAAAAAAAAATTAATCTATTCTGTTATTTAAGAATAAAGGGAAAAGAGATGAATTCCAGGGAATATTTCTACAAAAATGAACGTAGCAAACTCTGCCAGAATTCAAACTTGGTTCACTGATTTTTCTTTCCGAGTTGATAACCCTTAACTCACACGTCCATGAAAGGGGACAATGCCATCAAATAATAGATCTTAAATTAAAACTACATTTTTTGTGAATATGTTCAATGATAGGCATCAATATAGAAATGTCTAAATCTTTTAAAATAAACAAGTTAAATCAACTAACTTAAAACTTAAGTTTTGAATTAGCCAACACTAAGTTAGAGATATTTTATGCACAACACATTTTATTAGAAGTTAAAAAAAAGATCTCAACTGCACTTTTTTAGGATTTGCTTTACCTTATCAGATCTAAGAGAGCTTCAACAGCATTGACATCATCAGAAGATTTTTTATTGTTGATGTCCTGGTTTCCATAAGTACCTGGTTTGATGGTCATTACAAGAAGAATTCCTAACAGTACAGCAACAAATGTGGTGCAAAAATAGTAGATAACTGCACGCAATCCAATTTTGCCAGATGCTCTTGTATCCAAAGATGCCAAAGATGATATCAAACTTGAAACTATCAGTGGTAAAATCAACATTTTCAGCATGTTGAGTAAAAGTTCTCCTGGAAAATTAAAATAAAAGAGTTTTCTTTGTTCTGTAGGTGCCCAAACCTTGCGAATACCAATGCCTGCACCGATGCCTCCAATCATTGAAAGAATTAAAAGTATAACAAGGATATTGCTTTTTAATAAAGGCAAACATTTCCTGTTTCTTTGCACCTTCTTAAGCGTGAGTGATTTGAAACAGCCCATTTTCTCCAATCAGTCTTTAAATACCTGAAAATGCAAAAGAGAAACTAATTAGTTATTTTACATTATGTCAAAAAGTAATCTATTAATCGGTTGTCCAGATTAATTTCCTCATTTACATTGTTTTTTTATCATTCTTTTTCAGTGTTTGTGATAAAACGTCTTTTAATCTTTATACATCAAATGTACAGAAATAGATAAGATTTATTTTTAGGATATACTGATCATCATACAACCATATTTTTTTGATGAATTGGGTTAATTTATTCTTGTCTTTATGAGTCAAAACAAAGTTAGCAAATGTAGAGGAAATAAACACTTATAATCAAGAAAATTGTTTGAACCATCTTTAATATTGCCTATTATAAGGTTAAAAAAGAACTTTTAGTTCAATATATTTATAAATACATTTTCTCTCTTACACAGAACACACACCTATATATACATACAGTGACACACATAAGTATTGGATACATGTTATTTTCTGTTATAACTCTAGTTTATGTTCGCCATTTTGCCTGATATTTGGTAAGTAATATCTCGTAAATTTGTTTCAGTTGTATGTGGAAGGAAAATTAAAAACTCACGGTTGAATCCATTTTTTTTTATCAAAGTTCAAAATTACCCTATGCAAAAGTATTGGATACATCAATTTAATATTTTGTTGCGTAGCCTCTGTTTTGTTTTCACTGCTTCCAGTCGCTTTTTCTATAGTTGGCCACAAGTTTTCCACACTGATCCACCGTTACTTTTACCCCATTCTTCCTTGCATAATTCCTCTAATTGCTTGATATTTTGTGGATTCCACTTATGAACTTTAACCTTCAAAGTATTCCACAAATTCTCAATTGGATTCAAGTCAGGAGACTGACTTGGCCAATTGAGAGTACTAATACCATTATTTTCAAACCATTTATTTGTAAGTTTTGCGGTATGTTTGGGATCATTGTCGTGTTGAAGCACGAAATTCCGACCATGTCCTAAAGAAGTTGCAGATTTCTGAAGGTTCTTCTCTAGAATCTCCCTGTTCAGGCTACCATTCATTCTACCATGGATAACTTGTAACTCACCAGTGCCATTGGATGAAAAGCATCCCCATATCATAATGGAAGCACCCCCAAACTTAACTGTGGGGATGGTATTGTGCTTGTTGAAGGCAGCGCCATTTTTTCGCCAAACACTTGTCGCTGTGTTCCTTCTGAATAGTTCAACTTTCGTTTCATCCAACCAGATTACCTTTTCCTAAAACTGCATACCTTTCTTTTCATAAGTTTCGATAAACTTTAATCAGTCTTTGACATGTTTGGTTTTCAGTAAAGGCACTTTTCTTGGTGATCTTGAATGAAAGCCTGTACGATATAGAGCTCTGCTAATGGTATCCTTACTTACATTAATTCCAACACCCTCAAGATCAGTTTTAATTTCAGAACAAGTAATGAAGGGTTTTTTTTGCACATTTCTGCTGATCCACCTTGAAGTACTCTCATTTATTTTTCTCGGTCTTCCATTTCTTGAAAGGTTTGCTGTACCATCGCCATATATCTTATACTTCCTGATGATATTTCCTACTGTACTTCGTGCTAGATTCATTTCTTTGCTAATTTTTCAGTAACCTTGTCCTTCTTTGTGACATTCAATGATTCTATCTTGCATATCTCTGGATAATTCTTTAGTTTTTGCCATTTTTAATCCTTGAATTGCAGAATGCACATCAAAGAGTCAGATGATTAGTAGCACTATCTTGTAAACAATTGTGTGCTTCTCTGATTGGTCAGAGATAACGTTCCAATACTATTGAAAATTTGAATAATTAAAGTCTTTTAAAATACAAAGTTTCGATTGGAAATTTGAAAAAAGTGTCATGCATCCAATACTTTTGCATAGGGTAATTTTGAACTTTGATAAAAAAAAATGGATTCAACCGTGAGTTTTTTAATTTTCCTTCCACATACAACTGAAACAACTTTACGAGATATTACTTACCAAATATCAGGCAAAATGGCAAACATAAACTAGAGTTATAGCAGAAAATAACATGTATCCAATACTTATGCGTGTCACTGTATATATGTGAGGGTGATATGCAAAGTTTTTAATGTGGTTAGACCACTGCTGTGGTCGGTTTAAAATAAAATAAGGCAATTTGCAATATTCCAGAAGAAAACAAAATAAAAATTGGCATGGACATAAATCTTATTTGTATTATTTTAAAAATGTTAGAATCGTAAATGTATAATTATGTAGATTTTTTTCAATACATGCTGCTACTTTTGTAGACTCAAATATCACCCCAAAGCTAAGTGTGCCACAAGGAACACTACCTGTAATAGCTGCAGTAAAAAGAGTCACTATACTAAAGCCTGTAAATCTAGCCAACTGACAGTCACTCTAAAAATGGCTTCGATTACCAGGGCTACAAATTTATCAAAAGGTCATTATGGATGCTGGGATTAATAATATTCCAGTCAATGCCTTGATAAATACAGGAAGTACTGAAAACTTCATAAATCACTGTCATACAACTTGGGCTCCCCATCTCTTCTACGGCCGGAATTGTTAGCTTGGCTTCTTCATTACTCTGTTCTAAAATTAGAGGCACTTGCTCAATTGACCTACTGGTGGGTAACAAAACTTACCCTAATGTGAAACTGGCCATCTTACGTAACTTGTGTTGTGATATGTTATTGGGCCATGATTTCTTATGACAATCTTCCATTTCCATCTCATTTACCTGAACTGACTGTATGGTGTTGTCACCATAGATATTTAACCCCCTTACTTGTTAAACAAACTTTCAGCTGGCTGTAAGTCCATAGCTGTAAAATACCAGCACTTTTCAGATACTGATAAAATCTTCATTGCTTTGGAAACAAAGATTGTTACAAGAAGGAGTCATAGAACCAAGTGATTCCCCTTGAAGAGCTAAAGTTCTGGTCATTTCAGAAGCTAATCATAAACAAAGGATGGTAACAGACTACTTACAAACAATAAATCCGTATATATCATTGGATATATTCTCCCTTCCTCAAATAGATGATTTAGTACTCAAAGTGACAAAGTATCATTACTTCAATACCCTGGAGTTAAAGAACGTGTACCACAAGTAGTGATTAAGAAAAAGTATACCAACTTCAAAGCTGATAGTCACCTTTATCACTTCTGCTGAATACCTTTTGGCATTACCAATGGAGTGGCTTGATTTCAGTGGATAATAAACAAGCTTATCTCTTCTAAAGGACTTTCTGCTATCTTTACTCAGGTAGATTATCTGTGGTAAAATGAGAGAGGAGCATGATATCAATTTAAATAAATTCAGGAGTATTGTTTGAAAGTACCATCTAACCTTGAATGAGAAAAAAATGCACTTTGGCAGCTAACATTGTCACTCTGCTTGGCTATCTAATCAGTCAAAAACCAATTAGACCCAACTTGGAATGTTTACCTCCTGGTCCCTCAAGATAAGGCAATTTTACAGTGAGTAATTGGACTATTTTCTTATTATTACAAATGATACCAAAATTCTCCGACCAGATTAAACCCTTAATAACAAGTATTTTGTTCCCTCTCAACCCTAACACTGAGAAAGCATTCAATGACCTTAAAGAGATGATTGAAAAGTCCTTTCTACATTCAATTGATGTGACCCTTCCCTTAATCATTGAATCTGGTGTCTCTGATACTGCTGTAGCTGCTGCACTGAATCAAGCAGGCCAACCAGTTACCTTCTTTTTAAGGATTTTCTCCCATACTGAACATAATCACTGTTGTTGAGAAAGAAGCTTGCACTATCATTAGAAGTGGTGTGAAAATGGTCTCATCTCTTAACTGAGAGGTGTTTTACTATCACTGACCAGCAAGCTGTAAACTGTATTTTTAATTCAAAAGGACTTGGTAAAATAAGGGACAACAAAATCCAATGATGGCAAATGGAATTGGGTTGTTATGATTATGACATCATATACCGACCTGGTAAAAACAACATTCTTGCTGATGTACTCCCTCATGCTCACTGTGGAGCCACTATTGATAAGAAATTGTCGGAGCTACCTGTTTAACTTGGCACCCTGGTGAAACAAGGTTCACCCATTTCATCAAAATAAGAAATTTGCACTACTCTATTGAAGAAATGTTGAGAGTGCACTGAGTGAGCTCACTTGAAGACTAAATTTTACTCTCCAGATTCTACTACTCTCATTAAAGCTATGGAGTGACTTAGCATATACTCCAGAGGCCCATTTCCCTCCTCCTCCTCTAGGAACTGTTATCTGCTGATCATTGTGGATGACTATTCCTGTTTCACATTCACTTTTGCCTGTCTAGATTTAACCATTGGCTTGGTTATGAAATCTCTGAACCAGATTTTCATGGTGTTTGGGACCCCTTCTTACATCCATTCAGACCCCAGAATACCTGGCTAACCTTGACATTGCAACTAGCTGGAAAACTCCCTATAATCCATGAGGAAATGGACAATGTGAGTGGTATAATGGGGTAATAGAGAAAGCTATTACCCTAGCATTAGCTCCTAGAAAGTGAAGTACTGCATTCAATCAGGTCACTGCTGTGCACTGCCACCAATGACACTCTCCATGAAAGACTATACCAATACTAATGCTGGTCCCCCCAGTGAATTACATGGG